AAGTTATTTTTCAATAAAATATTATAATATATATTCACTCAATCCAATGATATTGTATTCAATGGATAAGGTATGACCCTATTGAAAAAGTGGCCCACCTTTAAATTAATGTAATTATATTTTCTGTGGTTTATAAAAGAACTATAAAATCTGTCCTTTCTGAGTTAATTGGGGGAAATTTACACTATATTGCTAGACAAATACTGAACTAAATACTTAGAATTCAAAAACTTAGAATGCAGAAATCTTAATATTTAATCAAATAAAAGTCTGTATCATATAAAAATAGAAATCTGATTTATTCCGACCCAATAGTTTACTATATCTCAGGCTAACATTAATTAAAGGCATATTGTGAGCTGTTTTATGGACTTTACATGTTTTAACTCTCAGGGAGTCTTTTCACCCTCATTCTACAGAAATAAATACTGAGACTCAGAAAGGTTTATCAACTTATCCAAATTTACCCTGCAAATAAGTGGCAAGGCAGGGGCTGAATTCAGGAAGTCTAACACAATGCCATGCTTATCATTACTGCATTACACTATCTCTTACAAGGGATTGTCATATGTTTGCAGTTTTGTTTTTGTTTTTTTGCAATTAACACAAATTAATTCACCAGTTCTCTTGGACAAAAGCCAGTTAGGGAAGAGGAATCAGTTACAATGGGTGAATGTGGCATAGGGGGTAGAGAGAGGGGAAAGATTTCAAGTGGAAGGCATGTGGGATTTGACATTTCAGAATACAGATTATATATATATATACATACACATACACATACACATATACATACATACATATATATATATATATATATTTTTTTCCCCCCCTACGGGGAGTCATAAAATTTGGAGAACTCAAAATTTAGTTTCATTTGAGTGAGAGAGGACAGAGTTCTCATTATTGGTTCCCACCATTCCCTTTTCGCCAAGATGTGACTTATCTCATCACTAAGGTAGTTACTGGTGCTGTAAACCAGTATTTTCTAGTATCTGTTCTGGAAACATGACAGGGGTGTACTTCCTAGTCCCTTTGAAGTTATATGAAATGAGAGCAGAAACAATGTGTACATCTTCTTCATGGAAGAGTCAGCCACCCTCCCTTCTCTCTACTATGCTGATGATAGAAGCATATGTCATGGCAAAGTCTCCATTGATCTGGTCCCCAGAAGACTTCAAAGAACTGAGCCCTCCTGAAAATGCCCATAGAGCAAATAGATTGCATTGCAAGAAATAAACTTGCCCTAGCCAGTTTGGCTCAGTGGATAGAGCATTGGCCTGCAAACTGAAAGGTCCCAGGTTCTATTCCGGGCAAGGGCACATGCCCAGGTTGTAGGCTTGATCCCCAGTGGGGAACTTGCAGGAGGCAGCCTATCCATGATTCTCTCTCATCATGGATGTTTCTATCTCTCTCTCCCTCTTCCTTCTTCTCTGAAATCAATAAAAATCTATTTTTAAAAAAAGAAGTAAACTTATCTTCTAATAAACCATTTGGTTGTTATAACAACTTTACTCAGCCTATCCTGAATGATATACTCTCAAAGCACCAACGGATGTCTAGAAAATGTCTATTTTAGCAATAACTTGGTCATAAAATTGTAAGGAGGATTTTATTTTTAATAAACCTAAATGAATGTCATAATTATTAGACAGTGTTTCTAAAAATTAACTTTGAAGGTGGATCCTATAATAATAACAAAAGCAGTAAAATCCCATTTTCAATTAACTTTATAGTATTTCCATTAATGAAAATGTACATGGATGTAAGTCATGATATATCTCCCAATCAGAGGTATTTTCCAAACAAATTAAGGGGAAAATATGGTATCTTCCATTGATCATGATATCCACATTATAGATCTCTTTAATCTCGAGTAATCCTGGAATGACTACTCCCATTATCAGTTAAAACAATATCTTTTTTTAAAGAATACCTCTCAATTTCCCCACTTGACTGATGTTATTGAGGCAGAAAAGACAGAGGGGAAAGAGGGATAGGTCTTCTAGAGAGAGTAATGATAATCTATAGAGAAAATACAATGGACTTTAATTTTCTAAGAATTAATTTATAATGTCAACCAATTAAAATTTTTCTTTTATATGCACACATTTATTATGTGTGGGAACACTTTAATATACATAATTATAAAATAAAAGAGTAAGAATAATCCGATTTAAAGGTTTAAAAACCTTCTCTTATAGTGTAAACACACTAATTCTTTGTGTACTCCTATTGTAAAAACAGCAAGAGCCTGATTCTATTAGTGAGTAAACCATTCTGAATTACCATGTGAATGCTGAATAAAATTTCAGGGCCTCGAGAGCTCATACTATATAACAGGATGAGCTAATTAATTCACTTGAACAAATACCTTATTTTAAAATTCAGGTTATGTTTTGAAAAATTGTGTCTAACATTTTATTTGTTTTCCCCTTTGATCTCCATTTTCACCTGAATAGTTAAAGATCTCAGATACACTTCTTTAGTTTCATAACATTACTGTGAATGTACATTGAATGAACAAAATATATTAGAAGATGGCCTAGAATAAATAAGTTTTATAGTCTCCAACTAGAAGTTTTGTTTTCTGAGCCCCTGATTTTGCTTTCCCTATTTTTAAACTGTCTTAATCCATGAAATTCTTCATTTTGCAAATATCTACATCGTTACTCTTATTTTAGTCTAATATTTTGTGTATATTATTCCTTTGATTCCATTAATTTTTAATTAAGAACATAAACTTTTAACATGGAATATATTATTTTTATTTTATATTCAATATTGAATATTCTACATGAAGAACGGTTTTACAGAACTGTCTGTCCTCTCTCTTCTTGGCCCCCCTTCATTGATTCTTTTTTGCTGAAATGTTTGTTACAAAAGCAGGGATGGAAATAATAAATTATAAAAATATGAAGGTTATTAAAGTGTTTTTTAAATTCCTTAATTCTTTTCTAAACAAACTAAAATATGTTAGAAAAATAGACCAAAATCCTAAAAGAAATCAGAATAATTTTTGACATCTTGATATTAAGAAAAAAATTAATATCAAGGCAATTAACTTTGTGAATTTATGTTTGTAACTTTTGATATATTATATAAAATATAAAAATCAAGCTATTCATCTAATAAATGCTTAGTTATTTATTTTATATGACTTGAGGGGAGACTCATACTTCTTGTCAAAAAATGTCAAAGAACTGTAAATGGGCAAATAAGATGATGCATCTTTTAAATGGCATCTGGGAATGGATTGTCAAGTGCATCCTTGGCATTTTCTAATTCTGTAGGAATGTGTATCTCTGACTGACTTTGATTGACTAGTCCATTTTATAGTTCTGTAGGAATAGAAATTAATTTATAGAAAACATTGTAATGCAAATGTTTTTACCTGTAGCAATTCAAATGAATTTTTCCCAGTAGAGGAGAAAAAATTTTTGAAGGTCAAATTCTCATTGGTTTTAACTCCTTACCATTTTCTTCATTTAAAAAAAAATGCGTTTGATGAACCCTTAGACACATGTTCACTTAGTATGTGCACAAGAGTCATGTTTATACATTTTTTATAATAATGTAAAATTTCTAACTGAAAGAAGTCAACTATAAAAGATACTATTCTCCCTTAAACAAAAGGAGAGGAGATGAAATAGAACTTGTGATCTCTTATTTACAAATGACTATTTGGCATCCAAATTCCCTGCATTGTTGAAAAACCTTCTGAAACAGTGATTTTGATTTTATATGTTCTGTGAGAAACTTGTCTTCAGAAACACTGAAGCCCAAACACTGCTGTAACTGAAGTTGGGTGAGGGTTCCTCTCAGCCACTTCTCAGGGAGGACTGCTTGAGGGGCTTCCTCTGAAGTTTAAAGGAAAAGTCACAGTGCTCGAGCCCAGAGGAGCTCAAGTGGAAAGTTGGTATCCTGGCAATTCCAGATGCTATCTAAAATTGAAAGAGTATTCAGAATTGGAGAATCAGAGGATGGTTGGTATTAGGCACATTTAAGAATTTTCTTCAAGATACTATCATCTCAGCTGAAATATTAATCCTATGATACAATGACTACCTCTATTTCATATTTCTTCCTCATATTTTAAATAAGTATGTAATTAGAAGACAAAACATTTGCTTTCAGAAGATCAAATATGCTCACATTATCATAAAGCTTATTTTGTCTTTAGGAACTTTTTGAGAATTGTTAAGAATATTTCACTCTTTTGACAGTAATATGATATTTTACATCTGTGCTTTTCCTTAGAAAGTGTTGCAAAAAATGTAATTTGTCACTTCAATCAAGGCATTTCTTTCACTCTGATGTGTAAATATTTCTGAATAGGCATCATTGAAAGCTATCACAAATAAAGCCATCTTGTGTTTTGGGTGGCATATTTAAAGCTGTGCATATAATCAAGGGGACTACAAAACTGACTCAAACAAAATACATATAAAACTTAAACAGAATGCTAAATTAGAAGGCATGTTCTAAAATTAGGAAAGTAGCAAAAAGTATAAGTTAATGGGTAGCATAAAGTATTCAAATCAAATTAGATAATTGCCTGTATGGAGTGCATTTAGAAGTTAAGTGGAAATATGCTAATTTAAATTGGCATTTAAAATAAAGAGGCATTTTCTTAATATCTGGAACATTTTTTTCTAATAAGTGAAGTCATGGAAACTTAGGGTAGATTCAGAGTCAAAGGCTAACTATAAGTAACCTTTAGTATAATGGCGGTACACACCTCTTTCTGTAAGTCGTGATGGCATTTTTTCTTTGTCTACAAATGTTCATTTGATCCTGCCTCTTGCTATTAATATCCTATTAATACTTGCAAAAGATCTTTTCCTAGCAGGTTTTAGACAATTTCAGTTAAATTCTGTCACATCTTTGATCATGTAAAGAAAACATGCCCAGTTACAAGCAGACTTAACATTTTTCTTAAGGCACATTCTTCTTCTGTTTTGTTGTTGTTTTGTTATGTAAATTAACCCATTTATTATAGGTTAGCAATGTTTCAAATTGTGGAGCTTCTCTTGGTCCTTCAGCCTGCTGATGGCAGACTTTACTGTGATGGCAGAAGTGGTGTTGTGGGTCCAGCACCACCAGCCAGTTTTCATGCAGAAACCACAGTGCCTGATCCCCACAACTCCTGTCTTCACCTTGGTTTTGCTACACAAGAAGCAAGTGTACTTTGCATGCTGGCTGATTTCAATTTTCCTGAGGGAGGCGCCATGACTAGTCCTGTGTTTACTGGTAATTCCAATCTTTTTGGTGCATTTAGCCATGTTGCCGGAAACTATTCTCTACAAAATATAGAAAATACATTGTATTTTCTTCATTGTGCACAAGGGTAATATTATAGTGCCACATGAAATGGCTCCAAACATTCATAGAACTTCTTTCTACCTAAGTGGAGTAGTATTCTGTTCTGCTCAGAGATTCTAATTGGCTTAAACCAAGTAAAAAAAGAAAAAACAAGACAATGAATTACTTGGAGAGAGGAGAATGTCAAATATATTTTGACAACAGAGAAATAGACTAAAGCCACATTTTGAGTTAACACAAAAGGAAATTTCATAACTCCTCTTTCAGAAGAATAAATTCTCATTTTAATATTTTGGAGACATCCATTTAAAATATATCTGGCTATAAATTATTTATATAATCTCTCTTACCATCCCTTTAAAATGATTATAATGAATAAGTTAAATGTTAAAATATGTAGTAACAGATAATTAAAACAAAAGTTAAGTGGAACACTTTCCCTAGTTTATAGCCTTCTAATTACTTACCACTGAATATAAAATAAATCCCAGCTTCAAATAGAGATAACAATGCCATTTAAAACCAGGTTCCCATTTCATCCTTGATCCTCAACTCATGAAACTTTCCTTCATTTACTAATTCATTAACTCATTCTCACCCCCCAGCCCTTTACAATACTTTCTCCTCTGCCTGGGGGACTGGTTTTCTATTCCTTGACATGTTTGGCTTTAAAAAAATTGAATCTTAGAATAATATTGAACTTCTTAAGAAGCATTTTGTAAACATTCTGTTTTACTTAGGCATAGTAAGTACTGCATTCTTTTTTCTCTCTGCAAAGACATGTGTCTTTAATGTCTGTGTTTTGTTTTTTTGTTTTTTCAAATGTTGCAGACCTTTGGGGCAATATTGCCATAAAATGAGTTTTCTTGGGTCACAATCAATAGCTAACACAACATTTTTTTAAAACTCAATTTACTGCCAGTATTTTAAAAGAAGTAAATTTCAAATAATTATCCTGATTTCCTACTTTATTACCCCCCCCCCCGTCTCCCCACCCGTTCCCCCAACCCCCGCCGCCAAATAAACCTCTCAAACCTCTGGCCTTGCACTTCTCATAAACCCACTGGAAAGCATTGAATAGCAACAACATCTATGAAGGAGCTGGTGCCTTCCAATTCATAATAGATCTTCCACTTTTCTTATATTTCTAAAATCGTCAACTTCACTCCTTTCTGGCCTCTTTGTCTGAATAAGGACTTGCACATTTCACTTTTAGTTTACCCATTTGTTGTTTGTGTCACCATGATCTCCTTGAAGGCAAAAAAAGCATCTGTTCTTTTTCATCAATGTAATACTACAGTTTATTCAGTGTCTTGTATACCATGGCTTGCATTCACTCCATAAACGTAGTCAGTGAACAAGTTAATGATGGAATTAATATTCTGCCAAAATCTAAGAATAATTTGCACTGAATTCTAGGCTGATAGAACCAGAATTAAAAAACTCATGATTAAAGTGTATTATTCTGATAAAAACTAGTCAAACTTGCCCTCTAAAGATATTTAGAAATATTATTAATCCTTTTCCAAGCTATACTCTTCCTCTTCTCTTGACTGTAAATGCCTTTTTAAAACAACAACAACAACAAAATTTCCTATCCTTTCCTTTAGTTTATAATCTCTCTCTCTCTCTCTTCTCTCTCTCTCTCTCTCTCTCTCTCTCTCTCTCTCTCTCTCTCTCTCTCTCTCTCTCCAGAATTCCTTTATGCTGCTTCCAACTTTACTCCCAGCAGTATTTTTCTTCTATCTCTTCAGATTGTTAGGAAACTAGATTTCCTATTTTTTTTTTAAAAAAAAGAGATTGAGCCCTAACCAGTTTGGCTCAGTGGATAGAGTGTTGGCCTATGGACTGAAGGATCCCAGGTTCGATTCCGGTCAAGGACATGTACCTTGGTTGTGGGCACATCCCCAGTAGGGGGTGTGCAGGAGGCAGCTGATTGATGTTTCTCTCTCATTGATGTTTCTAACTCTCTATCCTTCTCCCTTGCTCTCTGTAAAAAATCAATAAATATATTTTAAAAAATAGATTGAGTTCAACCTATGAGACATGAAAAATCAGTTAGAAAATTTCCACCTAAATTACCCTACATTGCAGAACTACATATGAAGTTGCCCACACAAAAAGTGGCACCAAGATCAACCTACATCACTGGCTCTTGATAAAGCCAAGCTGGACTGGATGCATTTCTCTTAATTCAAGGAGAAGATAGAAATATCAAATAAAATATTTTTATTCATGCAACAAATATTGAATTAGCATCTACTATGTGCCAGGCACTATCATATGCATTTTTGAAGCAAAGGTGAACAAGAAATCCATATACTTTGCTCTTATGAATCTTAAACACCTGTAAGTGCTTATGAAAACTTATAATGAGAGATGTGACATGCTATCCTTAAGCCCAATTTCAGGAAGAGCATAAATATGGACATGATATGAACATGATTAAAGTAGATGCTCCAAAAAAATGCCACTGATTTTTTTTTTAATATTCAACATGGTACTAGAAGACACAGATATCTCTAATGACAGTAGCAAAAACTAATAAGGAAATGTAGTCAGTACATTACGGAAAAACAAAAAATAGCAAAAAACATAATGATAATAATAATGATAATGTAACTGATTGGAGAGTAATTTAAAGACAGTAAGTAACACACTTGGAACTATAGGTATAATGGAGGATCGATCTGGAAAACAAAATGAAAATTGAAGAGACTGGAGGTCTGGAGATCAGTCCAGGTGCAATTCGTGGAACCTGGATAAGAATGAATGAAGATAGAGATGATATTATTGAAGAACCAGAGAGGGGTACTGATTCATGTTGGAAGAAGAAAATGTGCAGATGAAAAGGCATCGAGACACAATGAATCTAAGGCTTCCCGTTTGAAGATGAAGTGACTGGAGATGCCATTACCTGAGATGGAGATCAGCACAAAGGAGGGTGGTAGCAAAGAATTATTGGCATCTCCCCCCCTCCACACACACGCACGATTTACATATAGAATGGATTTGGGGCTCATCATTCTGTCTATCTAGTTGGAAAATGCAGTTCTAAAACTCAAGAGAGAAATATAAGTTATACCAGGAAGATAAAAATTTTAGTTATTCTTCATAAAATACGATTGGATAAATAGAGGAAACATGCTGAGAAAGATTAAAATGAGAACCTTTGTTCCTAAAATGTTGTTTTCCATAACAGACTACAATTCAATTTTTTTGCATAGTTAAGTGGATCACCATTATCCTGACTTTATGTATCTCCCCAGTCTTATTCCCCATCAGTCACTGCCAATCCGTTTTCAATTTCCATATTTCTACACATGCCCTCTGTTTCATGGCTTTTTGTCTGTCATTATGATTTTCTTTCAGCCTGGGATGATTTATCTCTACTGTATCTCTGTGACCTATGATTAAGCCTTTAATTTTAACTCATATATAGTAGTTCCTGCAGAAAGATTTTCCCAAGCTACTGGATTAGATCAAGGTCTGTTCATCAATATCCCAGTAGTACCTGTGATTAGTTTTTCTCTCAGCATCTATCAAGATACATTCACAGTATATAAATATAAGAATGTAGTATTCATTGTTTTGCCATCAGTAATTACTATATTACCTGGTATGTGTAAGATACTCAAATGCCTCCTAAATTTCACTTTAGAAGAAAATAATGAGAGTGACAATGTTTAGTATGCATGGATACATCTGAGCAGATTACCAATTAATTCGCTTTCATTACAGAGAATTTGAAGTGTACAGAGAAGCATAAAGTGTGAATCACTTGTCAATCCTCCTCCCAGAGCAGATGACTGTCAATGACTCTATATATGCAGGCATTTTGCTCCCCACACATTCATGTACATACAAATATTATTAAATTAAGACAATGTTATGTCATTTGCTTTAAAAATTCTTCTCTTATGTTGCAATATGTCATACATGCTTCTTCCACAAAATAAGTTATAACTAACATTGCACGACACTACAATATAATGTCATATTTTATTTAGCCAAGCACTTCTTCGTCTTATTTAAAGTTAATTAAACAAATTTGTTTTATTATTATTATTACTAAGAATTCTGGATGAACAGCCTCAAATTTAAAATTCATAAATATAACTGTGATAATTTAATAAGTTGATACAGGAGTGCCATGTTCAATTAGAATGCACATTTTAAGGCTTAATATATCTTGAAAATTACTCACCTGCAGAGAGGTCCCAATTTAGACTATCTGCAGCACTGCATGAAAATACAAATAGATGTATGTATTCCTGTCCTCTGCAAATATAGATTTTGTTTTATTATTTGCCTCATCTTATGGACAAGGTGTGACATCTAATAGCATCAATTTAATAATTTTGTTGATTGTCAGAGCAATGGAATACCTTAAAATAGTCTATTTGATTTGGAAATTTGTATACTTTTGACCATTTTCTACAAGAGTTTATAAACTTATACTTTTATAAGATATCTATATAAAGTAACTATATTAACTTTTATTTGGGATGTACTAAAATTCTGTTTATATTTTTACTTAGAAGTATATCTTTTTGATGATATAAAATGTCTCTGAGAAGTCCTGCAATAGAGAACTTCATGTAAGTTGGCTTAAACATGTTTTCTCTAAGTTTATTTTGCTGTTGGACTCTTAATTTGCTATATTAACATATATAATACATGATGGAATGAATATTAATACCTTATGATGTATTTTTAAAATATATGTAGAAATCGTGTATAAAATATTAGAAATTTAAAGAATACCCATTAAAGTAATTGTCAGAGCGACAGAAGAAAAGAGAAGAACGTAGTCTCTGGAAGTAAGCAGAGGAGATAATTTCCAGCAAAATGTGTGCTCAGAAGAATCAAATACTCTGGGGAGGGAAGATAGGATGAAAATGAAATGATTAGGAACAGAGAGCTCTCATTTTACAGTAATTAAAAAAAATTATAAATA